CCTGACCACACTTCTGTTTAGTCTGAAAAACTATTCTGAGTTTAAAAATCTATATATTATTTTTATTTTCATTAAAACTAATTATTTAATTCATTGGTGTGTGGACTTAAACAAACAGCAAATGTAATTTTAAACTGGAAACTGAGCATTTACAAATAAACATCCAATTTCAGCTGACACCAAATAAAAAATCCCCGATATAACTGATAAAGTAGCTCAGTACTCCATGAATTCATTAACTCACCTCACACTTGTTCAATAGTCTATTGCTCTGCTGTAACACAAATCCAGAAGCCAGAAGCTGAATCTGACAGCTATCTGACTTTTAGCTTGTTCATTACCGCAGTTCCATCACTGAGGCTGTATTCAGCATATTGCTCTCTCAGTCCAATAATACCATGCCGGTTGTAACCCCAGAGTTAATTAAGGTTGGCCAACAACCTGGCACACAGCACAAAATAGTTTAAAACCAATGTGTGTGTGTTTGTATGTGCTATTTTTGCACTAATGTCATGCTACCCTCGGTAAACTCGGAAGTGAGAAAATAACTTGAGTCATCTCAAGCTAAATGATCTCAAATGATTTAAAACAACTGTTGCACTTCTGCATGATATTAATTGCATTCTTTAAAAAGTGTGTGAACAAGTATGAGTAAAAAGAGGGAGGGGGCATCAAGGTCTCTAGATTTATAGCTGTGTGTATGTGTGTGCACGTCTGTGTGTGAGGGAGAGCATGCAACTAGAGGAAACTTTAGCAGTAGTCTGATGTCATGGATCATATTTTGAAGGCTCAGTGCTTGGACTGGTTGATAAAAAACAGATCCTATCTTACTTAAACCTCTCACATTGCCAAAGTCTTTCTACTGAGACCCTTTTTTTTTAAATGAAACCCTAAATGGTTTAGGAAACTATCACTGGCGTACATTCTTCACAGTAATGTGAACACGCAGCAGAGTCTCAGACTGAACTGAAGGCAGATCATTTACCGGAGTGATCCTTATGGGAAGCAGAAGTGTTTGTTTTTATATATTTTTTATTGCTTTCCTCTGGCCTGCTACTATTATTCTTCCTTAATGTGAAAAGCTATAGCCTTTTATCCCTTTGGTGAAAACCTATCAAAAATCGCACAAAAGGTCTATGTCTAATTGCATGTGTTATGGGAATGCATGGGGTTCATCACTGCCTAGAAACAAGGTGCTATTTTGACAATATTCAAAACATGAGTCCTGTTAAACGTAAGATTTCACATGAGAATAACTCCTTAAGAGGATAGTGATGTAGAAAATTTTCTGTACTTTTGCAAACAAAACTCTCATTTTCATTTTTGTTAAAACCACTTAAAGAGGTTCATGTTCCACTACGATATCTTATTTTAAACTTTAGTTGATGTGTAATGTAGCTGTGTGAACATAAACAACATCTCTGAATGTAATACGCTCAAAGTTCAATGCAAAGGGAGACATTGGCTTTTACAGAGTTAGCTTAGCAAAGTCTACAGTGAACGGAGTTTGGGGACTACAAAAAAATACATCTGGGATAGTGAGATAGGCAGGTTATGACTAGTTCAGACTGCATAATTTGAGCCCAGATTTTGACTCGATGCACACATTGCGATATCAATGCTGATTGTGTCATTGTGCAGCCCTACCTCCATGCACATATATGCAATAAGCCTGCTTTCCACTGCACACGACAAACGACAAGCGACAGACCGGAAGTCATTCATTTCCAATGGAGAGTAGTCCAGGAGCTCCAGGAGTTGTTCCGATCTTTTCCGTATGAGGAAAATTCAGATCTGAATTGAGCTGCGGATACATATTTGCGACTAGACTGCAACCGGATGTGATGTATTCCAGTGTTATCCAAACAGGTCCGTGCGCACAAGTTGAGAAATATTTTTCATAATTTTTTTAATTAAAAAAAATTCTATATAAAAAAAATTATATTCATAAATGAGTAATAAAATTATTATTATTTTTTATGCTGTCTCCAAATTCCCTCCAAATCTTTTTGTGGTCTATGAGTTTCTAGTAATTATTCATTAAACCATGGTAAACACATGGAGAATAAAGGCTATTGCTTTTGTACTCCTTTATTTCAGACACTGCGAGAAGAGCTTCTATCCCATGGTGCGCGACAAAACTGGAAATTCTGTGCGACTGCCACAAGGGGGAGTATTCCGATAGTCATGTCCAAATGTTGTGTGCAGCGGAAAGGTTGCTATAAGGTAACCAAGTATGACATGGTGGTGCAGTGGGTAGAACGATTGCCTCACAGCAAGAAGGTCGCTGGTTCAAGCCTCGGCTGGGTCAGTTGGCATTTCTGTGTGGAGTTTCCACATTCTCCCTGTGTTGACGTGGGTTTCCTCCGCGTGCTCTGGTTTCCTCCACAGTCTAAAGACATGCGCTATAGGTGAATTGGGTGAGCTAAAATGTCCATAGTGTAAGTGTGTGAATGAGTGCGTATGGATGTTTCCCAGTCATGGGTTGCAGCTGGAAGGGCATCCGCTGCAAAAACATATGCTGGAAATTTGGTGGTTTATTCCGATGTGGCGACCCCTGATTAATAAAGGGACTACACCAAAAAGAAAATGAATGAATGAATAAATGAATGAATGAATGAATGAATGAATTTACCTATATCAAATATGTTTGGACTGTGGGGGAAACTGGAGCACCCAGAGAAAACCCAAACCAACACAGGGAGAACATTTAAACTCCACACAGAAATGCCAACTAGTCCAGCCAGGACTCGAACCAACGACCTTCTTGCTGTGAGGCGACAGTGCTAACCACTTTCATATTGAATTTTAATTAATCATCATATTATATCATATTATTGATTGTATGTCATCTTAAAAGAGTTGGTAACACTTTATTTTGATGGGCCACTTGAGTATTAGTAGACTGTCTGCTTAATATTTGTTGATATGTTCCTTCAACAGACATTTACCTGACTATGAGAAACTTTGCATGTACATGTAAACTGACACTAACCCTAACCCCAACCTAACAGTCTACTTATAATCTAATGAAAATTAATTGGCATGTAGATGCAATGTAACTTAAATTCAACAAACGGACCATCAAACTAAGTGTAACCAAAGAATTTACTGTCCAATAGACCAATTACCATGTTTGTAAACATTCAAGATGCGCGCAGGGAGGTGGCAGAAAGCAACCGGGAGCCCAGCATTTACAGCGAGGGGATGACATCAGATGCAGTGCAGAGTTTGTTGTTGTCTTAGAAATAAGATATATTACTTACATATTATATATATTATTTACATAATGCTTACAGCATATTATAACAGCTCGTCACCCAGTGACAAGCACAGTGATTCAGCAAAATTAACGTTAAAGTGAGCTGCGTTCATCTGACAGCTCCATTTGCGATAGCACCCTCTCAATGAATATTGGATTAGACGAAATGACCAAGCATTCAGCCCGAAATATACAATCTCAATGAAGCTCCAAGTGATTTTACAAGAGAGAAGTTGAAGGTTTACAAGTCTTTGGATGCCAACAATGTTGTTCTTTGAGGTCATGTGCAATAAATATTGCTCCATGATGACCAGATTCAAGAGCTAAACACCGTGATTCCGCCTAGCCAAACACAAGGAAACAAGACGGAGCTAACAATATACAAGCCCTTGGTAATTAATCACCAACATGCAAAACGACTGCATTCTGACAGTGAACTTCACCTTTACGGCAGGGTATGTGAACCTACACATAGAGGTAAAGTTGATTTTATATTCGCCAATTCAGACTTTCTCCTTAATAATATAATTTCATAAAAATATTATTTGCAAAGTCTAAATAGCGAAATCATATTAGCAATAGCCAAGACTAACAAAGAACAACACTGTTCAGTCAAATAAACAGTGTTAATGTTGTTTTCAAGTCACACTAGCAGGTTATTTCAGACCAAATATTCAAAGTGCCGTGGTAAACAATATAGGGAGTTTGTCACAAGTTGTCACTGAATGAATGTGTGAATAATATAAAACTAAGTTTACCTTAATAAACTTTCACGTTTCATTCTGAGCATTCAGTGTTTGCAGTTTAATTAACCACATGTAACTGTTTTTGTTGAAATCATTTCTGCAATCAAAAACGAGTAATGAGTATAATTCAGCATAGCGTGAACTGACCTGATATGACATGAGAACTGCAGAGTCCAGCATTTCTAATTAGCTCCTCACTTCATTCAGCTCCCATTTAGCCAAAGACGTCTGCAGTCGGTATTAAAGCAGTGTGTGGTGTATGGTAAAAGTTAAGTTTTCTATTTTTGGACTCGAATTTGGCATCCTACCGCAAAACACGACATCTTTCCCATTGTAGCCTGTCTGTTTTCTGCAACCGGGGACCCGTGTGACGTCATGTGTGACGTAGGTTGGTAATTGGTCTATAGAGAGTCAAGAAAGAACTTTTTTGCCTACTTTGTTGCAACATCTCCCGATATAATCTTGGTTCTGCTAAATTGTATATCATTTTATATAAGTAATACATATTTATAGCTATCATTTAAAAATGTTCAGTTATATGTACTAGCTGTACTAGCTGTGTTTAGCTGTACAAAACACTCAATAACAAAAGTGTGACCTAATACACAGATCTACTTTCATCGCCTTCATCAAATAGAGGGTATTTTAATTGAATTCCTCTGCATCTGTTATTGGATTTGAATTATTGGAACTGTTTAACTCTGTTTGTTTTGCAGCTGGGATGACTAAGTGTTTATTTGCAGATAATGATTACAAAATTGTTCACAGACAACAGAAAAAGTGTGGGAAGAAGGTACGTTGTTTAAAATCCGCCATTAGAAATGTTTTGTTTGTTTTGATGTTGTGTTATCTAGCTGTGTGAGTCACAGTGGAAAGTTGGAAACACAAGAAAGAAGTATGAGTGCACGTGGGTGGGGGTTATTTACTGCAAACCTTGCAGATGCGATATAGAATGGAGATGTACCTGTCCATATATACAAGTGTTTGTGTACCTCTTAAAGCAGTGAGCTGAAGTGAGGATCCAGCAGCTGCTGATCAAAGTAGCTCCACATACCAAGCGTCCATCTGCCTGAGAACCCCGTAAACGCACAGCTGCCTGCCACGGCCAGCCACCACTACGCCATACACAAACACACATAAACACACTATGAGCATGCTATAACATTTAAACAGCTTTTCTCATTCTGACCACACATACAATTATTTTGAAATGTGTCATTTGTTATGCCAATGCTGTTTATATACATTTTGACCTTCTTTGCTTACCGTAGAGAGTTTTCTCCTCCTATAATTCTCTTCTGACGTGTGTGAGAGAGTCTTAGACCACACATGGAGCCAACTGCCTCTGAAATGTATTACAAACACAAATTTCTATAAAGCGTGCATGGGTGAATCTGTTAAGAACATCTGCCTTGGTGCTATTTCACCGCGAGTCCCCTGCAAAACATTGTACAAAGTTTGCTGTTATTAAGAGGCTCTGCTCCTCTTCTCTTGCCTGCACCTTTACAGTCTTTACAGAACAGAAAAAGGAATAAAAAATATATAAGAATATGCTAAACAGAAATTATGGTGGCTTTCCCTATAAACAACTTTAATTTAGTGCTGGGCAATAATTAATCGTGATTAATCACATCCAAAATAAAAGTTTGTTTAGACGTGTGTGTGTGTGTGTGTGTGTGTGTGTGTGTGTGTGTGTGTGTGTGTGTGTGTGTGTGTGTGTGTGTGTGTGTGTGTGTGTGTGTGTGTGTGTGTGTGTATTCATTTTCTTTTCGCTTTAGTCCCTTTATTAATCAGGGGACGCCACAGCAGAATGAACCACCAACTTATCCAGCATATGTTTTACGCAGTGGATGCCCATCTAGCTGCAACCCATCACTAAGAAACATCCATATACACTCTTTCACACACATACACTAGAGACAATTTAGCTTACCCAATTCAATTATAACGCATGTCTTTTGGACTTAGGGGGAAACCGGAGAACCCGGAGGAAACCCACACAAACATGCAAACTCCACACAGAAATGCCAACTGACCCAGCCAAGGCTCGAACCAGCGACCTTCTTGCTGTGGCGATCCTGACGTCTGTGGTTGTGTATTATATATTTTTATTTTGTATATGTGATACAACTACATAGAAACAAAACTATGCATAACTATTTTATTACATAGATATTTTAACTTGTATATAATCTGTAAATATGTATTACTGGTCCCACTTTATATTAAGTGGCCTTAACTAATATGTACTTACACAGGAATTAATAGTTTGTTACAATGTACTTATTGTGTAAATACATGTATTTACTGTGTACTTATGCTTGATTAAATACATGCATGTAATTACATCTGTAATTAACTTCTGTAATTACATTTGTAAAAACACTGTTGACCATCCCTTACACCTTAACCCACCCTTCAACCTACCCATACCAAACCTGTCCATAACCCAACCTCTATCCCAACTCAAAAGGACCATAAGTGTTCTCAAATACATTATAAATACAGTAAGTACATTGTATTTATTTTAATGATGTAAGTACATAGTAGTTAAGGACACTTAATATAAAGTGGGACCGTATTACTTGAATATTATGTATGTGCTGTTGAAGCTGGCTTGTGCTGATGAAACTTCAGTAAACTTTTTTTTTTTTAATTCTAAAATATATGCATGTATGCCTGTATTTATATACTGTATACATAAATATACACAGTGCACACATATATATTTTGTCAAAACAAACGTTTATTTTGGATGCAATTACAGTAATCGCAATTCATTTTTGACCAGAACTACTTTTAATTGATTATGAAACCACTGCATTTAATGGAAAAAAAGTGGCTTGTGGAAAATGTGCTGATTAGATGCTCACATGTCTTTTATTTAGCAACAATTTATATTTTTGTGTGCTTTCAACATGTTTTTGCTAAATTGATTGTATTTCAGAAAATACATTACACATATTTTTAGAGAGTACAATAAAAATGACAACAGAAAATCATTAATCTTTATGAAAATAATAGGTGTAATGTTGTTGTTGTTTTTTGTATTTTTTGATTTTTGGGTAAATACAAACATAAGATACATGGCAATATATGCAAATCAAAAAAAACATATATGCAACATGCTGCATATTTCAAATATTGTCAAAATGGTTGTCTATGTATATTTTTCCCCAAGCTTTAGATTTACGAACATGCAGATAAACACAACCGGTCAGAAGTTTGAGGTCAGTAGGATTTTTAAATGTTTTAAAATAAGCTTCTCCTGCTAACAAGGCTGCATTTATTTCATCAAAAATACAGTACAAATTGTAAAACTGTGAAATGTTATTGCACTATAAAAACTGTTCAAAAGTAGTTTGACATTTAATTTAATCCTATATTCCAGTGATTTTAAAGATGAATTTTAAGCTTCATTACTCCAGTCTTCAAAGTCACATGATCCTTCAGAAATCACTCTAATATTAACTAGTATTATTGGTAATAGTAATAAAAGCAAGAATCACTGAAGCAACAATTTCATTTGAAACGACATACAGTAAGAAAGCAGTTATTTAAAATTGTAATAAATATCTAAAAACTGTAAAATATTTTACGTTTAATAAATGCCGCCTTGATAAACAAAATATTTTTTCTTTAAAAAAAAAACGTGAAAAAAACTGACCCCAAACTTATTATCTTGAATTTTATATATACTGTATGTTCATATATGGCCATATATCAGATTTTTGACAGAACTTGTACCTTACCTTGAACCTAAGTATATACAGTACAACACCTACAGGTGATTACACAAAAATGTGTTTTGCTTATGTGTCATCTGGGTTTAATGAAGAAAGCAGGCTGGATTAACATGCATTATACTTATTAAATTTATAAGAAAAATAAAGCAGAAAGAAGTCTAAGTGAATAATTCAGCACAAAAAGTCTATAGTAAGTGCCAGTGATCATGCTGAGCCAAACCACATCCTTTAGAGTAGACATAACACACACACACACACACACACACACACTTTACTCCAACTCTACAACAACTATAGATCTTCTCAGGTAATGGGTTCCATCTTTCTTTTCTTAGATGGCTTTTTTTTTACAGATCAGAATATAAACAGAACACTCTGCACATTTACTTGCTGCCGCAACATGTACATTACACCAGTGTTTTATACAATCTTGTAAATTCCAAGTATATGATGTGCCTTACAGAAACAGATACAGTACATTTAGTAATAAAATGCTAAGAATAGTGCTAAAATGTGCAGTACTAAAATGCTATGTATACAAAAGGTTGCATAAATGCATGTAAACCTACATAAATATACATTCACCGGCCACATTATTAGATCCAACTGCTTGTTTATGCAAATTTCTGATCAGCCAATCACACGGCAGCATCTCAATGCATTTAGGCATGTAGGCATGGTCAAGAAGATCTGCTGCAGTTCAATCCGAGCATCAGAATAGGGAAGAAAGGTAATTTAGGTGACTTTGAACGTAGCATAATTATTAATGCGAGATGGGCTGGTCTGAGTATTTCAGAAACAGCTGATCTACTGGGATTTTCATGCACAACTATCTCTAGGGTTTACAGAGAAAAAGAGGAAATATCCAGTGAGCGGCAGTTCTTTGGATGCAAATGTCTTGTCGATGCCAGAGGTCTGAGGAGAATGGCCAGGCTGGTTCCAACTCATGGAAAGGCAAGATTAACTCAATTAACCACTCGTTACAATTGAGGTATGCAGAAGAGCATCTCTGAATCCACAACACGTCAAACATTGAGGCCAGTGGGCTACAGCAGCAGAAGACCACACCAGGTGCCATTCCTGTCAGCTAAGAACAGGAAACTGAGGCTACAGTTCGCACAGGCTCATTGAAATTAGACAATAAAAGATTGGAAAAACATTGCCTGGTCTGATGAGTCTCGATTTCTGCTGCGACATTCAGATGGTAGAGTCAGAATTTGGCATCAACAACATGAAAGCATGGATCCATCCTGCCTTGTACCAACGATCAGGCTTGTGGTGGTGGTGTAATGGTGTAGGGGGTAATTTTCTTGGCACATTGTATATTTTCTTGGCACTTTGGGCCCATTAGTACCAATTGAGCATTGAGTAATGCCACAGCCTACTTGAGCATTGTTGCTGACCATGTCCATCCTTTTATGACCACAGTGTACCCATCTTTTGATGGCTACTTTCAGCAGGATAACACCCCATGTCATAAAGCGCAAATCATCTTAGACTGGTCTCTTGAACATGACAATGAGTTCACTGTAGCATCTTTGGTATGTGGTGGAACGGGAGATTAGCATCATGAATGTGCAGCCGACAATTCTGCAGCAACTGAGTGATGCTATCATGTCAATATAGACCATAATCTCTGAGGAATATTTCCAGTGCCTTATTGAATCTATGCCACGAAGGTTTAAGGCAGTACTGAAGGCAATAGGGGGTCCAACCCGGTACTAGTAAGATGTCCCTAATAAAGTGGCCAGTGAGTGTATACTATAGATAAGTAAATGCTAATATTAAACCCTGTCCCCACAGCAACTCCTTGACACTATTATGTCTTTTTATTTTCATTAGTAAAGCTTGAAAAATTCATTGAATAAAAAAAGCTGCATTAATAGTGTAGTTTACCTAAAGATAAAAACGTATCATTTACTCGTCCTCAAGTTGCTTCAAACATGAGTTTCTTTTCTCTTTGGAACACAAAAGAGAAGATATTTTGAAGAAAGTTGGTAATTGTAAATTTAAAGTAGCCACTGACTTCCACTATATGAAATTAAATACTAGTCAAGGAGTTACCAACAGTTGCTCAAAATGTCTTTTTTCTCAAACGTAGACAAACCATTTAACATTTAACTCATATATGAATGGATCTGGAACAGCCTGAGGATGAGTAAATGGTGAGTAGTCTATTCTGGTAAACTTTTCCTGTTAATGTTCCATAACAGAAATACTTTCATAGAGGTTTTGCTAAATATCCCAATGTGACATATTTTGGATGCAGCAGCAATGAGAAAAAAACAGGAGAATGTCCCACCTTTGACCCCAGGAGAATCCTGCTGTAACCCATAGTTACAAATAACACCGGCATCCTCACTATGGCGACAGTTGTGTGTCCCGAATGGCTGTTTGATACAGTCAGTCAGGGAATGCTCCCCGCCTGTACACTTTACATTGTCAATGTGGATAGGACCTTCGCCTTCTCCGAAATATGCCATTACACGAGCTTTAGCCAGCCCACTGCAAAAAGAATGACAGGGAAATGTGTACTGTTAATTAAAAATTAAAATCTGAAATAAAAATTTTAAATGGTTATTTTAAATATAAATGTTATGTAAAAAAATTAAAGATGTACTAGAATTACTAAAATGACAAAAAAAACTTTTATAAATACAAATTAAAGCTAAACTAAATAAAAAAGTGCAAAAATAAGAATACTGCTAAATTATACTGTGTAAAATTGTGTAAATCAAAAATAATTGTGTAAATTAAGTGCACAGCTCTCTGGAACACTTGATTCTGATTGGTCACTAAAGCTTTACGTTTAATAAAAGAATTAGTAATAATTACAGCTTAGATCGGTGTTTTATGTCTAATGTGCTAAGTTGAACGTTTATAGCATGAGGCCATGTAATAAACTTGTCAGATAAATACTTGACACACCTCACAAGAACTCTTTCCATACCCCTCACTGCATACCATCAAGATGTAGCATGCACAACATTTTAGCCAAATCCTTACATAAAACAATATTGCCTACAATAATTTTCCACCAACAGTCAAACTATGTGTTTTTGATTGTGTACTTATCTATCTGTGCCTATCAAGCAGCAACATCTCGCTCTCCCTCGTGAAGGCAATAAGGAAGTAACTGAAACGGCAATTCATCGACTGGCTTTTGCGGGCTGGCTTCAGGAAATCCATATGTTCTCTGACCGCAATGCTAAATTGGCTAATTTTACAAGTGGTGCTCACTGCAGAGCCACTTGGGCACAGCTGAGCTCCAGCATGGGAGCTGGATCTCAAATGGCTCTGCAGCGAGCAGTGTCTCATATTTTACAGCTGATAAAAACATGTTTACAGCCTGGTACAATATATGGTTTTGGTTCTTAGTTAATATTACCCTTTGTGACAACTGTGTGGGGGTGAATTTTTTTATAACTCATACATTTCATTTTGATAAAGTTATGTTAAGTCTGTTTAATTAAGGGTGTGGCCTGTTAAGCGACAGCTGGTCACCATCATGTCATCTCAGATGATTTCGGGTGATTAGCCGCTGAACTCGGCATATGCATCGTATTTTTGTTTTGTTTTATGTGGATTTATACAGTCAATTTTTTTGGAATTATTTCCTACAATTAATTGAAATGTTTTCATACAGTGTTGTGCCTGGATTTCATAAATAACCTTGCATTTACTAACACAGACTGTATTTAAAGTATTTGGGAGTTATTTGCATTTTCCTCCTGTAGAAAAACGTCATATGAACAATGCTTAGTGGCTCAATGTATTACAGCAGTGTTTTTAAAAGACTAAACACCTTATTGATATAGTATATAACCAAGCACATATGGTCAGAACACAAAAAAGGTCGAAGGTTAGGAGAAGTATTAAGGGTTTCTCTCAAAGAAAAGCCTGTATAAGCAAAATGCTAGCAGGTTTCTGTAACTACACTGACACTTTGCCTTTTTTCCCTTGTTTGGTTACCCCCGGTCGGTGCGATGACGAGCTAACAAAATGGCGACAGTTGGCCACGGTGACTTTTAGCTTCATTTGCGCTCTTCAGAAACCTATGGGAGAAGTCACGGATACTACATCCATATCTTTTACAGTCAATGGAGCCTACATGTGTGTAATGTGTGTTTTTCTTAACGTATTTATTGTCTTTCACATATTTATTGTATTTTGCATACTACTGTCAACATTGCTAATAGAATATTGTTTTGTTTTTTGAAGTATGTTGTCGTATCTTGCACTGTCTGTATTTAGCACTGTCTGGAGCCAGCACCTAAGCTTTTCGCTCATCATAGTAAGTTACATGTGCTGCTGAGGATGTGACTACAAAAGTGATTTGATTTAAGTTTAATGATAATCCTGAAGTATAGCAAGGTACATTTACTAAGCTCAAACAATGACACAATGAAAGATCTGTGTGAGTTCTGGGTGTATTCACTCAAGAGGAACATATATCGTAGCACACACACACATACAATGACAAGCACAGCATATCTATCATAACACAAGTGAGAAACATCGCCAGCTCCAGCTGAGAGAACTGAGCTCATCAGATATAAGCATCAGTTACAGTGTCATAACCTGACCTCTGACCCCCCTCAGGAGGTGAGCATAAGGGAAGGTGTTGATCACATTAGCGTGTGTAAATCTGACAGACTTCTCAGTGTTGTAATCTGAGCTGAACAATAACAATAACCATTCAGAACTGAACTAATAAAAATCATTTTTACTTCCAAAAAAAAAGAGAAGCAAACTGAAATAGATCTGGACCTAGCTCAAACAGAGCTTTGCAATATATAGCAGCAATCATGAGTTTGATCCCACACTTGGCCATAGGTTATAATAACCTACTTAAAAAAAACAACTCATGTAGTCATTTTTAGAGGTGGATATTCCTGTAAATACATGTGGCAATAAAACAGAGTTGAAGTGTTGACATTAGCTGAGTTTCCATTACCCTGTGTCAATGTGCATTTTGAAGTATCAGATGATAAATGAGTGATGGAAATGCAAAACTCTGAACAAACATCCCTAAATTTGGTGGATTAAGATTTTTGTCTTAGCTTGTTTACTGTTGGTTACTAGATTACCAAAACTACAGTCAGCCACTCTAACAACTTGATGGACACTGGATTTTTTTTCTTTTTATTTTTTTTCAGATTTGCTTTACATTGAGAAGGAAACAAGGAAGACTATGTTGCCTTGTGTTTCAATATATTTAAAGGGCAGCTATGATGAAAATCAACTTTTGTAAGCTGTTTGGACAGAACTGTGTGTAGGTAGTGTGTCCACAGTCATATTGGAGTGATATAAAAACCAAAAAATAAATAAAAATTCTTGACGTTAACGTGACATAGGAGTGTGGTTTTATCCTCCCACCAAACTGATTGACAGACTCCATTTTGTTCCATTTCTATACTAACAAATATACATATGTACAAAGAAAAAAATGTGCAAATAAACTTGGATTAAAACACTTGTTCCATCTCTTTGTGATTTTTATAAGTTTTAAAACGTTTTTAAAATAATCCATGTTTGTAATGAAGACAGTAAAATCAATACTTTTAACTGCTATAATCACCACGGCTGCATGGTGTTAGTAAACGCTAATATATCTACATTTACATTTACATTTAGTCATTTAGCAGACGCTTTTATCCAAAGCGACTTACAAATGAGGACAAGGAAGCAATTTACACAACTAAGAGCAACAATGAATAAGTGCTATAAGCAAGTTTCAGGTCTGTAAAGTCTAAGAAGGGAAGTATTAGTAGTATTAGTATTTTTTTTTTTTTTGGGTACAGTTAGTGTGATATTCAGAGAGGCAATTGCAGATTAGGAAGTGAAGTGGAGACTAAATAGTTGAGTTTTTAGTCGTTTCTTGAAAATAGCGAGTGACTCTGCTGTTCTGATGCAGTTAGGGAGTTCATTCCACCAACTGGGCAGATTGAGCGTGAGCGTGAGCGAAAGTGATTTCTTCCCTCTTTGGGATGGAACCACGAGGCGACGTTAATTCACAGAACGCAAGTTTCTGGAGGGCACATAGATCTGCAGAAGTGAGAGCAGATAAGAAGGAGCAAGGCCAGAAGTCACTTTGTAGGCAAACATCAGAGCTTTGAATTTGATGCGAGCAGCAACTGGCAGCCAGTGCAAACGGACTAGCAGCGGAGTGACATGTGCTCGTTTAGGTTCATTGAAGACCACTCGTGCTGCTGCGTTCTGGAGCAGTTGAAGAGGCTTGATAGAGTTAGCTGGAAGCCCAGCTAGTAGAGAGTTGCAGTAATCCAGTTTGGAGAGAACAAGAGCTTGAACAAGGAGTTGAGCTGCATGTTCAGATAAGAAGGGTCGGATCTTTCTGATATCTGTGTGTGTGTGTGTGTACTGCAAATGACATTTGTGTGTGACTCATCATTTCAGAAAGGCTTGAATAAACTCCACCACAAATACATCAAATAAAATTACTTGGTATTTTTTACTAGTGACCTTATTTCAGCTTCATCCATGTCTGTTTCCATCACTGACTGCTGTTTATCTGATGTAACACATGATGAAACGGTGGGCGGGGAGAAGCCACTCATTTTCATTGAAAGCCACAGGCTACAAAAACAGCTACAATGCACGCAGACACCAAATGTGCAAATTCTGCTGGCTATAATAAATAATCTGATGGGTATTTTGAGCTGAGACTTTAAAGACACATTCTGGAGACACCAAAGACTTACCTTACATCTTGTAAAAGGGGTAAAATAGATGCCCTTTACACTCCATCTAAAAAGTTATTTAATATATGGTAACATTTTAAAGTCATGTTAGCCAAGTCAGTTTAGCTAAATAAACTATCAATATTGCATATAAAGATTTTCAAGTATGTAGACTTAAAAATTTTGTACGAGGTATGATGGTTTATTGGGTACTGAGCCTAAAGTAGTTTACTTAGATTAAATAGTGTGTGTGAAGTGGTTTAACATGGTCTCTCTGAGATTTTATTTATTTTTTCAAATGTATTGTCTTTCTGACAATAAAATATTCTAAATTTTCAAGCCTCGCTTTGTCATGCCAACATCAAAGAAGATTTACTTATCTAATTTGACTTGACATTAGTCTGTGTATTTGAAAGTGGACAAATTATATTATATTATATTATATTATATTATATTATATTATATTATATTATATTATATTATATTATATTATATTATATTATAGGGCGTCACGAGTAAAGGTGAATTTTGTATGCTAAATTGTCCGTATAGTATATGTGAGTGAATGAGTGTGTATGGATGTTTCCCAGTGATGGGTTGCAGCTGGAAGGGCATCAACTGGGTAAAACATAAGCTGGATAGGTTGGCTGTTCATTCCACTGTGACAACCTCAGATTAATAAAGGGACTAAGCCAAAAAGAAAATGACTTTATTATATTATATTTTATTTTATTTTATTTTATTTTATTTTATTTTATTTTATTATGTTATGTTATGTTATGTTATGTTATATTATATTATATTATATTATATTATATTATATTATATTTTATTATATTATATTATATTATATTATATTATATTATATTATATTATATTATTTTATATTATATTATATTATATTATATTATATTATTTTATATTATATTATATTATATTATATTATATTATATTTTATTATATTATATTATATTATATTATATTATATTATATTATATTATATTATATTATATTATATTATATTATATTATATTATATTATATTATATTATATTATATTATATTATATTATATTGGGCTGCACGGTGGCGCAGTGGGTAGCACGTTCACCTCACAGCAAGAAGGTGGGTTCAAGCATCGGCTGGGTCAGTTTGCGTTTCTGTGTTGAGTTTGCATGTTCTACCCGTGTTGGCATGGGTTTTCTCCTGTTGCTCCGGTTGCCCCCACAAACACATGGTACAGGTGAATTGAGTAGGCTAAATTGTTCGCTGCGTAAAACATATGCTGGATAAGTTGGTGGTTGATTCTGCTGTGGTGACCCTAGATTAATAAAGTTACTAAGCCGAAAAGAAAATGAATGAATTATATTATATTATATTTTATTATAATATATTATATTATATTATATTATATTATATTATATTATATTATATTATATTATATTATATTATATTAAAATTAAAATATATTAATAATTATACTATTCTATTATATTATATTATATTATATTATCTTTGTTTTACCAGCTTTACATCTTTGCATCTACAATTAGAAACTGTCTAATTATAGTGAAATGACAGAACATTTAATGCTCATCAGGTGAAATACTGGAGTCACCTGTAACCCAGCTGTCTGCACACCACTTCTGCGTCCCGATCCGTCCATCCATCATCGCACACCGTCCCCCACTGGCCACCCACCAGGATCTCTACACGCCCCTCTCTCTCATTCTCTCCGCCCACCAGCCTCACAGGTAAACCTGAAGGACAGGGAAAGCAAAATAAACAACATTCATCTCTGGTATTGTGGTGGCTAATGCAAAAACAGTATGTGCCTTATATGTTCTAAATGTTTCACACAAAAATTCAATTCTGCCATTAAAACTGCCATCTGATGCCATTCTGCCATCAAAACTGCACTGTAAAACATCCAACCTACAAATTGTTAACTCAGATTAAAAATGTAACTTAGGTGGACATATTTTTGAATTTAGTTGAGTTAAATTTACTCATAAAAATTATTTAACTGCATGTTCGGAACTGTTTGTTTAATGAAAATAAAAAATTCAATTGGGGAACCTTTGAATTTTGATTTCTTCACTGGAGCATGTACCACTGTAGAAATAAAAAGTTGATTTAAATTACAATTTTAAAGCAATTGGCTGCGAAGAAATTTAGAGTTTATTTAGCTTCAATGGTTGTTGCAAGTTGTGCCAAATTATTCCATAAAGTATACTTGACTTAAACCAGCCTTTACCGTCAACTTAAAAAAATATTTGGCACAATTTCAACCACTAAAGCTTAATAAACTCAAAATTTCTTTGCAGCCAGTTGCTTTCAAATCTTAACACCATTTCAAGGTCAAAAATATTAGCCCCTTTAAGCTTTTTTTTTTCCGATAGTCTACAGAACAAACCATCGTTATACAATAGTTTGCCTAATTACCCTAACCTGCTTAAATAAACTAATTAACATAGTTAAGCCTTTAAATGTCACTTTAAGCTGTACAGAAGTGTCTTGAAAAATATCTAGTCAAATATTATTTACTGTCGTCATGGAAAAGATTAAATAAATCAGATACTAGAGATGAGTTATTAAAACTATTATGTTTAGAAATGTGTTGAAAAAAATCATCTCTCTGTTAAACAGAAATTGGGGGGAAAAAATAAACAGGGGACAAATAATTCTGACTTCAACTGTATATATACACCATCCATTAATTTGACTTTAATATTAAAAAGAAAGTCTCAATGGTTAAACAAACGTGTTAATTCAATCACTAACAACAGTTGCAGAAAATATACTACACTGCAATTACATATATTTTCCTGAGGTTAAAGGTTTTTGAGTAATCTCACAAGCTCTAACTGGCTACCTGGGGAATTAATTTGTTTGATATAGTTTATTGAAGCTAAATTGGGTCTGAAGTGTCTAAAACGGTCCTCCTGAGACTTTTATGAGGCTTTTATGACTTCACTAAACTTTCTTTCATCTACCAATAAAATATCAATATCACTAAAATGTTATACCCCAAAGTAGTACAATTTCTGATCGAACCTGGAAAGGTAGACTTTGAGTTTGGTATGGTTTAAGACGATTAAACGAGGTCAGAAGTGGTCTGAATGTGGAAGTTGTGTAATATTCCATCTCTGTTTTATATCATCAAAACTTGTCATTTAATTTTTTTCATCTAGTTTGAATGTTTTTGTTCATCTAGTTTAAGCACTGCTTTAATGTGCTTTTGAGTGTTCAAACTGTGGATGAAGATAACTTTGTGTTGATCAAAATGATGAAAGTGTACAATGAAAAACTTAACGTAATAACAGATGTCACCTGGTCTTATGCATACCAAATTTTGGGTTAAAAGAGATGTTTTTATTTAGTTTCATTTGGTTGTTGCTAGATCAGATCCGGTCATGTTAACAAGAATAGTAAAGTTAATAAGAACTATTTATATTCTTTATTACATTTCCCCTTTATTGTATTTTATTAACATCTACCCCTACCCCAAGCCTAAACCCAACCATCACAGTAATGTAAACAGTAGTAGTACATGTTATTTTTATGTTATTTATTTAATTACCCATTAAATTGTATTGTATTAATGCCTACCTCCATGCCAACCCTAAACCCAACCGTCACAATAATGAAATAATGTTCATTATTAGTACCCTATACAGTTTTACAAAAATGATGCTATATTGATGTGCGCATCCACAGCTGCATCCTATCTAGACATTACCATTTTCTACCATTTTCTAGTCATTTTAAACCTGCATGATTTTCTTTTTTCTGTGCAGCACAAAAAATAAGATGCAAAAACATTTTATGTTTGGAAGATTTATGTATTTAAAACGAAATAAAGGAAGTAAAATTTGCGGAAATGATCTTAGAGAATAAAGGAAATAAGGAAGGCTATAGAAAGACAATTTACATCCACATATACGTGTGTGCGTAACACAGTACGATGCATAAAAAAACACCTGGTGCCGGAGGGACAGTTTTAGGTTTCCACTCACAGAACACCTGTCTCCACTTACACATAACACACAGACGCACAGACACACACAATCATTCATCAGCCACAGGCCCGTCAGCAATATCAGCGGCACTCTCGGTGCAAAGACAAAGAAAACATGACTTTACTGACTATAAATTTATTCATTTAGCAGCATACTTCTTTTTATATTTAAAACTGATAATGGCAATTAATGTACATCCAAATTGGCCAAGTCATTTATGCATGCTCATGACCACATATTTGTGCATTAATGTGCCAAGAATAAACTGCCAATAGCCTTAGCTTATTTCAGATTTACAATCTGATTATTATTACAACCACTTGAGTGAATTTTCAGTAATGCAGTTCATAGATTACATATTCTATACATTAACAGAACAGCTTCATGAACATCTGCAATCTAAATCATTGCTTCAAAGCATGAAGTCCATTTCTCACAGTCATGTCTCGTTTGTCAGCAGTTATTCGAGTACTTTTTTTATTAAATTAAATTTGCGTCATAAAGCCTTCTGCACCAGTGGCACACACGTACACTCACATATGATAGCAATCGGCTGCTGAAATGGTTTTTTCATATGGTCTTTTCATCAGCTCTGTCTATGAGATGACATGAAAAACACTCCTAAAACCACACAGGAACACTCAGACGCTTTTATTTATTTGGATTCACTGTCCAAATACTGTGTTTCTGCTGCGTGCATATTGAGAGAGAGAACTTGAGTGTTTGTATATATATACTGGTCATCTGTCATCCACGTATAAGGTTTTCTGGCGTGCGAGTTAGTAAGAGAAACAGGCAGAGTTACAGATGTAGAGTAATAATTCATACAAATAGAATGACAATAGCAATATGAGATTTTTTGTCTGTCAATCAGATGTGACATTAAACATCTGAGGGGTGTGTTGATTTCTGCAGAAGTCATTTAAACGTGATCGAATGTGTTAGACGGAGCTGAGAGTATACTGAGATGAATGACTTTGTAAAGGACGGGTGTTTTGGAAATCGGTGGAAATACAGTTTTGCGGGCAGAGTTTCCATGTGGACCCTTATGGATTCCATGTGGCTCCGAGGCAAATAGGAACTCAATTTAAGTTCATTCAGCAAGAAGGAAACATTATTCAAGCTCTGAGAGTTTCCCATAGAGCCAGACTCACCGCATTTTCATAAAGCCATCAATTTGACAGACGAAGGCCAGTGGGTGGTTGTGTGTATGTGTGCATATGTGTCCATGTGCGTGCGTGTGTGTGTGTATTTTGTGTGTAGGATGAATTCCAGAAGCTATTCAGCAGGCAACAATTAGGGTAAAAATATAACAAATATATTGCAAAACATTTCCCCCAGATGGTAGTTAAACCTGACAAAAATGTTTAAATGCATCCTAGTGACTTAAATGCTAATCCTAATGCATAGTATTGTGTGTGTGTCATTTCAAAAGGACTCTTTATATGTAAGTCTAGTTCAGAGAAAAACAAATTAGGAGTGGCACCCGGGTTTCTGAAATACTCAGACCAGTCCATCTGGCACCAACCACCATGCCACGTTCAGAGTCACTTAAATCACCTTTCTTTCCCATTCTAATGCTTGGTTTAAACTACAGCAGATTGTCTTGACCATGTCTACATGCCTTAATGCATTGAGTTGCTGCCATGGGATTGGCTGATTAGAAATTTGCGTTATTGAGCAGTTGGACAGGTGTACCTAATAAAGTGGCCGGTGAGTGTATATACTCAGTACATATATTCTCTAAATTTATTCAGTGTCACTCCAAAGAGGCATAAGGTCTGTTTATCTGTATGTTTTGTTAGTTTAACATGCATATAGTGAAATTTTCAGTGTGCATTTGTAATACAGCAATAGACACATGTAAACTGTTAAATGAGTGTTTAATGCAAATTTATGCATGTGTGTCCTAAATTTCCTAAATTGAGGTCACTCCTTCGTCTGATTTAGAGTTATCCTAAAATTGGCAAAAGCATTTATGTATTTAAGTTATAAGAGAGTTACAGATATTCTATATTATAGTACAGTGTAAAACTCTTAAATGAGGTATATAAAAATGAGCAGTAACAATATTTAAAGAACATTTTCAGTTCCTCCCGGTTTTGGTGTTAATCTGGCACCTGCTTGTAATTGTATGAAACTGTTTAACAGACTGGTTAATAGACAAGTCGTTTAAGGGTTTGCTAAATAATTGCAAAGTCTTATATTTTCAGTAGTCTACTATTCCTGCCGACACATAATTTTACATATTACTTATGATCTAAATAAATAATGCATATCTAATGTTTGGTCTTTTTTGGAAAAGCTTTATTCCATATTTTAATTAGACTGTTTTATTCAATTTAAAGTTAGAAAAATTTGCATAAATAAATGTATTCAATATTTAATTGAATTACTCTTAAAATAAAACAAATATGTTTTAGTCAACGAAATATAGAATAGATTTAGTCGACTAAAACTAGACTAAAACTAAAATGATTCAGAAGACTAAAACTAAAATGGAATTTTAGTCAAATGACTAAGACTAAAACTACATCAAAATTTGCCGTCAAAATTAACACTGTATTTGTAATTACCTTGATTATCTGAAAAATCCTATATACTGCTATCTCTGTATAATGTTGAAGTGGGTGCTTGATGAGAATACTAAGAACTACTTTAGCCTTTCATTTATACACACAGAAAACCACACTCATTTGATTCCCAGTGAGTAAAATGAATTAAACAGGGAAATCTCA